AAAAGGGAAAAAAAGTTCCATTGAAAGTACTCTGATATTTCCCTTTAAAGGATCGGTTAAAGCGTCTATATGTTTCCCGTCACACTGCTAAGGAAATGACATGGCACGTGCGGGGGCGTTCAAGGGATGAAGACTTAATGCATCATCCAGTAGATGGTACGGAGTGGAAAGAGTTTGATGAAAAATATCCACAATTTGCACGTGAATCGAGAAATGTTCGATTAGGGTTAGCTACTGATGGTTTCAACCCATTCGGGAATATGAGTCTATCATACAGTATGTGGCATGTTATTGTGACTGCATATAATTTACTCCCGTAGCTATGTATCGAGGACCCGTATATGATGTTGACGTTATTGATTCCTAGTCGTAATGCTCTTAGGAAGGATATTGATGTGTTCTGAAGGCCCCTTGTGGATATGTTAAAAGAGTTGTGGGATGAAGGGATTGTTGTTCGTGATGCTGCAACGAATACGTCATTTTGGATGCGGGCCGTGTTGTTGATGACAGTTAATGACTTTCATGTGCGTAGTAGTTTATTTGGTTGGAGTGGTCAAGAGTACTTCGCATGTCCCAATTACAACAATGCAACTTCATCGAAGCGAATAACGAGTAAAATTTACTTTGTTGGGCATAGACAATGGCTTCCTATGAGTCATAGGATGAGGACTAACAAAAAGTTTGATGGTAAGGTTGAGCGATGACCTCCCCCGCCTAAAAAATCCGTTAAGCAAATATTAGCTCAATTAGAAAAGATGGAATCTCGATTGCTAGGTAAACATGAAAAATTTGACAGTAAGAAGTGAAAGAGACATATGACAGAGCTTAATTGGACAAAGAAGAGTATCTTTTTGGAGTTGCCTTACTGGACCTCATTGTAGCTATGTCATAACTTAGAGATGTCATGCACATTGAGAAGAATATAAGTGATAGTTTGTTGGGCACAATTCTAAATATTGACAGAAAAAGTAAGGATACAGATAAGGCGACGATCGATTTACAAGATATAGGGGTACGTAAGGAGTTGTATTTGTATAAAGATGGTGATCGTTGAATGAAACCATATGCAGCGTACACATTGACTCCGAAAAATTGAAAAAAGTTTTACGATTTCTTAAAGTCAGTACAGTTTCCTAATGGGTTTGCTTCAAATCTTCGGAAAAACATGATCGATGGAAATAATAAACTTACTGGGTTAAAATCACACGATTGTCATGTCATATTGCAGCGATTGTTGCCAACTACAACTTCTGGATCATCCGCAGCAGGAA